AAACACAAATATGGAATAAAAAGAATAGAAAAAACACAAATGTTTACCCTGAAAAATATCAACCATGTTAATAAAGTAGTTGAAACTCTTTAATTCCCTGCTCTGCATTTATTCTTCAGTTTGACTTTTCTTACATTTTGAACCCTCATTTTATGTTATTTCTTTACTTGTATGTTGTAATTGACCAGTTGCTGAGTGTACCGTATTTTCACGACTATAAGGCACACTTAAACGTCTTTTTTTTCCCTCAAAATGTGCGGTGCGCCCTTTGGTGCGGTGCGCCTTATGTGTGTTCCAACTGCGACTTTTGAGACCACCTCATTGAGGAGATGATGAAAGAGTGGCTGAATGGAAGGAGACCAGGTGTTTTTTTTTTCCACTCATCACCATCGCTGTTAATATGTAACTCCATGCCTGCCCATCTCACAGCTGATGTGAAAATAATGGGGAAACAAATTAACCCTGTGCTCGCTGTTCAACCGCTCCACATCGGTGTGAACCGGACCCAGCAGGTGCAGCAGAAGCAGCGAGTTTACATGCAAAGTCAATGGTTGACGCGCGTATAGGTGCAGCAAAGGTCCTGCAGCGCGTTTTGAGCTGCAGCCGCAGCGCCTCTGGAGCGTTTAAGTATCTGACGCGCCGCCAACGCGCTGCTGCTGCTCGAGATGGAAAAATTGAAGTTTTGCTGCTGGACGCGCCGCATCAACCAATCAGAGAAGCTGATCTGGGAGCTGACAGCGAGACAGACACATCGCTCTGATGACATATGATATTAAGGAAAATGGAAAAGGCTGGATGAATGAGGAGATGATGAAAGGCAGGTGTATGTGAGGAGACAAGGTGCTTTTTTCCACGCATCACCATCGCTGCGTGCCCATCTCACAGCCGATGTGAAAAAAAAGGTGAATCAAATGGATACTGTGCTCGCTGTTATCCAGGGGGGTCTGACAAAGGAACTTCAACCGCTCGACATCGGTGTGACGCGGCCGTTCAAAGTAAGGCTGCACGTGGGAGCGATGGATGACCGACAGAGACCACAGTTTCAGGATAAGTGGAAGGCAGCGCCGGGCAAGTTACGCCACCGTTTGAGGATGGATTGTAGATGGACTAACGTGTCTGCTGGCTCTGTTGTTCAAGCTTTCGCAAAAGCCGGCATTATTTCTGAGGAGCCGCGCTGCACGGAAAGTGACTCTGACAGCGCAGAAGGGGAAATTGGCATGTCTGATTTAGCGCAGCTGTTTTATTCAGAAACAGAGGATGATGACTTTGATGGGTTTGATTAATACTTTGTAATAAATACTTGAATAAAGCACAATCATACTCAGTTTTGCTCCCGCTCTATTTTTCTACCTGAAAACTTAATTCAACAGCAGCATCTGGGCGGGTCTCCTCCTCTTCTTCAGCGCGGTGGCTGGCAGGTGTTTTTTCATCTAAATAATCTTAATCTTGCAGCTATATTTGCTGTGATCAGTGGGAATAAAATAGTTTTAATATGTTTTTAAGTGAGAAAGTCCACCTGAAAACTTAATTACAGTCAGTTCATCCAGATTATCTATTTCTGTCGGAGGCGCTCAGACCCCCACATACCAGCGGTGCACCGACAGCAGAAATCCATTCAACAGCAGCCTCACCGTGGCGGCTGGCAGGTGTTTATCATCTAAATAATTTAAACTGCAGGCACCAGGATACCGGCAATAAAAACGAACATATTCCGTTGGCAGGTTTTAGGATTTTAAGTTAATTTAGGAGTAATCACAGCGCACTGTCATCTGCGATGTGTCTGTCTCATGGCCAGCTCGCAGGTTTGATTAATACTTTGTAATAAATACATGAATAAAGCACAGTCATACTCAGTTTTGCCCCCGCTGTATTTTTAAATACGCAGTAGAGCTATTTAAAGGTAGTAGAGGACATGTACCTGTATATAAAAAATGCGCCCTATAGTCCGGTGCGCCTTATGTGTGTGTTAAATACAGAAATGGGACACATAACTGAGAGTGCGCCTTTTAGTCCGGTGCGCCTTATGGTCGTGAAAATACGGTAACCAAAGAAAGCAGAAACATTGTAGGGAAATGATAGCATGTTGTTACTGACCTATTTAAATCAACATCAGTAACCAAAAGCAAAGCGCTTACTAACCACCTTCTACACACCTTTTTATTCTCTTTTCTTCAGGCAGTAGATAATATACTCAACTTACCGTAGGTGTAGAACAGATAGACTGAAACATTAATTTTCCCCTATTTTCCCAGTTTTGTTGGAAATACGTTTCATTATTAATGTCTAATCATAAGCATTGATGCAAATTAACTGATATACAACAGTCATTTATTTTAATTGATTTATTTAATTTTAATTAATCTCTTTTTTCTCCTATTTTCTGTCCTACTAATTGCTTGTGTAAATGTATACTGCTGCCCCTATGTGTTCAAAAGAAATTCTCTATATCAGGGGTCTTTGATGCCCCACCCCCTGGAGCTTTTTCAAAAATGATTGGAAATGGAAAAAGATGTATTTTTTTTTTGTGTGTTTATTTTAATATGGTGTGCAGGAGGTCAAACAGACATGCATGATGTTTCCAATGCTGTACAAATAAGTAAAAATAAATACATTTAAACAATTTATGGTGGGCTAATACACTCAAGTAAAAGTATAAAAGTACCATTTTAAAACTACTTAAAATATAAAAGTAAAAGTAATGCAGAAAAAAATGCTAATGAACAAAGCATTTCGGCACTACCATATTAAAGGAAATTGTTCTACAGTTCTGGATGATAACTTCCTTATACTACATTTTCTTTGTTTTATAACTAATAGCAACAGTGTAAAATTTAACTGTGCATTATCTTGACAAAACTATTTATTTAGGTATTTAGGGAACAACAACTAAGGGCTGCACCGAGTCAAACCACAAAGAAATTAATGTCTGGATGAAACTAATTATTTTGATTGTTTTGATTTTTTTAAAAACCAACAGACAGTAAAGAAAATAAACTTAAATGAAACAAATCTAACAAATCTATTTTTAATATATAAGGAAAAAAATTTCTAGTTGAGTAAGGTAACAAAGTATTTGTACTTTATTACTTGACACCTCTGTTAAGGACTATCAGACAGTGAAGGAGTTTAATAAAATGAGTTTCACTTCTTTATATCCCTTTGCAGACATAAGCACTAAATTAAACATATAACATAATTATACATGTTAGTAGTTCTACATAATGTTTGAATGTCTTTCATTTGTAGATTTTTACTGGATTGTATGAAATAAAGTCATTCATGAATTCATTGATTTTGGACAACAACTTTTGTTAATTTACTTTTTGTTACTTTATAACAGATTCAGTTTTATTGAGTCAAATGAAAAAAATAAAGCAAGCTCACTGAGACCAAAAAGAGACTATTTCCATCTCAGTGCACAAAAAATGTGAGAGAGAAAAGGTTAAGGCCAGCACTGAAAATGGGGCAGAGTGAAAACAAGCAAACAGGAAAAGCAGAAAGCAGCAGAAAGCACAGTCAATTTCAGGTCCCGTCTTCTAGTTGTGTCTGCATTGATTTGCTGGGCACTAGGTTCTCTGTCGCTCCCAAGTTCATCTAATTGCACTCACTCTGACCCAGTAATTACTTGCTTTAGACCTAGTTGGTCTCACCTCAGTGCAGTGCATTGCTGTCTGGAGCTGTCTCTGTAATAGCGTGGGAGTGAGAGAAATGGAAAGAAAAAGAAGGCTAAAAAAAACGAGAACTAGGCTGGAATAAAAATCCATGTCAGAGCAGAAGTTTGCAAAAATGAAACAACAGACCATAGAAAAGAAAAAAGACGCTTTAATTTTAAGCCATTTAAAAAGAACCCTGAACTCAGGATGTATGCATAAGCCCTAGCATCCTGCCTGGGCTCTAATGCTTTAATTCTCATTAAAAAATTATCACACTGATAAGAACTGATTCCTTCCCAGCACCGCCCCAGTCACCAGGAGTAAATGCATGGACACCAACTGCCACAGCCCAGAGATTAATCTCTAATCGTTATAGTATATAAAAAAAACTGTAGAAACTGTATTTTTGACTAATAATAAAAAATGAATTTAGGGCAAGATGGGTACAGACTGACCATCATTTATCTTAATATTAGCCATCATGGAGCTCAAAGTTTTCACCTGTGACTTCTTTAGGGGGTGCCTCATTTTACAATATTTCTATCAATTCCGTAACTCTTCCTCATAGGGAAATATGTGTATTAAAGAGGTAAAATGTGAAGTTTAATTTCTAAAATAATCAACTTTGCCATTTCCCTGTCCAAGCAGGGTTGCACAGGACTGCAGCATTAGATAATTGAAGGGGAGTTTGGTCTCATGTATGGTGTTTTCTATGTTTTCTATGTTAATTTTAACATTTCTTTGGATTCTGTTTTGTCTTGGTTGGTAAATGTATTTATTAGCCGTTCATTTAATACAAATATTCTTGCTTCTTGTTATTTTGCAGCTGTATATAATGTTATAATGTTTTGTTTCTTATTTAGTTCCACCTCTATATAAAAAAAAAAACATGTCTGCCATTGTTCTGATGATGCTGTAGTTTGGTTGATGTGCTGCACCACAAAGAATTAAAGACATGTCAGCTGAAAACTGTTTGGAGCCTGTTTATTTCAACCAGTTTGGGTCCCACCTCAAAGACTGCTTGGCCTCCTGATAAGTGCATAAAAGAGGGATGATGTATTCCTTTTTAAGATGTTTTATTTAGGAATGTTAATACTTGGCAGGAATCGGACTGTGTGAGGTTAGTGGAGTTGCACCACAAAATGGGTTTAAAAATTTCAATTCAGTATTTAACAAACGGGTGATTTGTCAAACTTGGGAACATTTAGGTTAAGCATATAAAAATATTTCTGTAAAAGGTCAAAATATGTCCAAAGTCCTGAAGTTAAATAAATTCAAACTGATAAGAAAAATCACTTGATTCTAATGATGGATTTATTATGTAGTGTTAATAAAGAAGTAACTTACCTGATGGAAAGAGGCCGAATGCCCAGTCTGGATCAAGACCTCCAGACGCATTGGTAGTATCTTTATTGCTAATAGTCTCTGGGGTTCGGAGCTCTTCTTGTTGTAACTCTTTGGAAGGTGTCTGATCATTTCCCACAACAAAGATTTCAGTAACTGCAGATCTGGATTCCATTTCTGTAAGGACAGTCTCAGATTTGAAGGCATTGGTGACTCCAGTTTCAGATCCTTTAGTAGGCCTCATAGTCACCAAGGGATGACTTTGTTGGTCAGGTACGCTAATCTTATCCTGCTCTTTCTGGACCCATGAAATAGATATAGACGGTTCCCCTGTATAAGAGGTGTCTGAAGTATTTTCTATGGTAGCGACTGTGGTAATAGCATCTGCTTTTTGTGGCTCTTTGGCCAAGGTCTCCACCGAGGTGACTTCAGAGGTCGTCAGGCTCTCCAGCAGGGCTTTAGTCGTGGTAGCCACCCCCTTTTCTTTACTCTCATCTTGTGTTTGCGAAGAGGATGGCAAAGACAACGTAGTAGTTGGGCTGTGGACATAAAAGATATCGCCCTCGGCATCCAGAGCTTTGACTGACTCCATGGTGCCCTGAGGTGAGGTGGTGGGTTGATTAACTAGCAGCCACTGAGACAGAGTCGTGTACTCACTCAGAGTAACAAAACTGCCTAGTTTGGGTGAAGCTTTGGGTGTAGGACCTAATTTGGCACCACTGCTAGTCAACGTGTTGACTTTCATTTCAAAGTCAGTCAGAAAACTGTTCCCATTTCCACTACCTTCCATGTCTTTCTCCTCTCCTGAAACAGCCCTGACTTTGCCAGACAAAGTATGTGCACCCTCTGGATCCTGATCTTTGCCTTCACCTGAATAGTTCTCCAGGTCTTCTTGGAGAAGGGAGGTGTGCAATGTCATCAACTCCAGAGGTCCTGCTTTAGCTTCTTTTGGCCCCCAAGATTCTTGCTCATCCAAATAGGCCACGTTTCCTGGGATTCTTGGTTTGGGGACAGTCACTGACGTAAGGCCCCATTGGAATTGAGCACTGGAGACAGAAGCGAGGACGTTGCCTTGACTGGAACCCTGAAGACCAGATCTGTTGCCGTGTTCAGTAGGTGGAGGAATTTCAATAGGTTCCAAAGGAAGAAATTCTATGAAAAAAAAGAGACACAGAAGATTAATGAATACAATTTTATAATGTAAGGATGATCATTTATGGAGGTCAAATCAGCAACAAAAAAAACAAAAAAAATTAAAGGTATATTTTTACAGATCAGTTTTAGAATATTCTTGAAAAGGTGGCACTAACTGGTGTGCACAAGATACTTTCTGGTGCACAGGTGAGACTAACTGGTGCACACAAGGAATTAACTCGTGTGCACAAGACACTTTCTGATGTGCACAAGATACTAACTGGTGTGCATGAGAAAGTAACTGGTGCGCACAAGATACATGCAAATGTGACTCTAAATGCTGCACACCAAATACTTTCTTGTGCGCACAAGGAACTAACTGGAGCACACAAGATACTTTCTGGTGTGCATGTGAAGCTAACTGGTCCGGACATGAAGGTGTCTGGTGTCAAGAACATTTTTTTTTTTAAGAAACACATTTTGTTTTAAAGTTATGATTGTGACATCGAGTAAGATTCAGCTAAACACTTGGAAGAGAGGGGACAACGTTCCAGGGGACAGTGCTAAAGCAAGCAGGATGACAGACCAGGAGACCGACCAGATTAATCTGGATTAACAATCCATTGCATTTGCAGTGTGATAGCCAAATAACCAGCTCCACTGACAGCTACATCTTAGCTCTCTGTATTTAGATGAAGTGATCCACTGTGCCTTATCAGCTAACAAATTTTAAACTCAACTCTGTCAACATGATCAATAATTCATTCTGTCTGCATGAGTGAGTCATGGCTGCTATGAGGTTCTTTTTTTTTTTTTTTAGGGCAGTGCTGCAGTTGCATGTGTGTGGCACCGAGGGATGGAGCGTTCATCATCGGCCCCTCTTCGACTTCCACAATATGTCCCAAAAAGTACAGCAGCATACCTCAACAAATTAGCGAAAAGGTCAGAACTTGCACAAATATGACCGTGCATAAAACATTAAACTGCATTTAAATTATTCAGAAGGTGCTCCACTGCCTTCTGCGTTAGTGAGGTTTATGAGGTGGGGTTCATTAACATAAAGGCCTTGTAGCCAGGCATAATTGCCCTATTAATGATCCAAATAGGTAATTACATACTTTTACTTTGCATGCTGATGGAAGTGGAAATAATTAATCACATTAATCTGGTTTTCCACGTAATGATCCGTTAATAAATAAAACGAGACAATTAGGTATAGGTTTGAGTGATTTCAATGATTAGACCACTAGTTCAGTTCACATTTGTTACCTTAAATCTGTCAGTTGTAGACTAAGAAGGACAAAAAATAAATAAAACCAAAGCAGAAATGCTGCAAAACAAACTTATAATAAGCCGTTTTTCAGACTGTAATTGCGTGCTTCCACTGTAAGTGCTTTTGCTTCGCATTCACTCCACTTTACTGGGGTAAACGGGCTGCTAGATCCTCCTGGGTCAGGCAGACATCATATTAAATTGTGAAAATGGAAGAGAAACAAAAAGGGAAGAAGGGTAGCGGCATGGGAAACGTTGTACCATCTATAGATATGGCATCTAATAAAATATATCGAGGACTTATTGCAGAGAATTATGTCAGGAGCATCCGCATTACATTTTTCAATAGAATGAGTTCAGACAAGGCGTGACAGAGCTGATGTTAGAAATATTGATGCTTTTTTTAAGAGATAACATGGAAGTGCCTGTAGAGCCCAAAACGCATTTAACAGACATTAAAAACTATTTAAAAGCACAGGCTGATTAATAATTTGTTAGCCTGAATGTATGTTTTCTCAATGTGAGACCTCTTCTGCACCACGGAGTCCAGCCAGAAATGCTACGTAGAAAACCCTTAAAGGTTATCTAAATAATCAGCTAATGGATTATTACACCTATAACCTCTTATTTAATTTGTCATTTGTTGAATCTGCTCCATAAAGGATATCATAAAAAAGAAGTAACATCTGAAACAGAGATTTTATTAATTTTATATATATATATATATATATATATATATATATATATATATATATATATATATATATATATATTTTTTTTTTTACAGAAGTTAAACTTTCTGCAAGAACACACTTCTTTGTCTGACCATTCATTGGACGGTTATCCTGTGAAGTTGTCTAAATATAAAGTTTTTAAAGTTTTTGCCAACCAGTCATCCTGACCCAGACATTGTCAAAGGAAACTCTCCAAATGGGGGAAACACAATCAGTAGGATTCTCAGAGGAATTGTGAAAATCTGCAAAGTGCTATTTGAAACTAACATGTCTGACGTTCAACCCAACCAGGCTTTTGAGGGCAATGCACCTCTAGTGACAGGGGATAAAAAAAACAAGTGAGTTGAACTGCCTTCACAGGCGGCATGGAGCATGAGCAGAGATTTAAGTCTGCAGTTTTTATCTTGACTTGAAACAGCAAATTTGAAATTCTGCTATCTGGTAAAAATGATTGACAGCTATAGCAATGATCTATAGATGGAAAATGTAGTTTGCTTACTTATGCCAATGTTAGCCACAGTTTCCTTTCTTACTTATTTGTATATTTCAACTGATATTTTTTATATTTTGACTTATTATTGTGAATTGTTTGTAGGTGAAGTAAAGTTCACTGCTTTAAAGATGCTGTTTATTTTTTTAATTATGTGTCAACGATTAGCTGAATGACTCCAATCTTCCAGGGCTGTGTAACCTTTACAATCCAGAGAGACATTTTTCAGTTCAGTCGAGGTAAAAAGGCAAGTTAAGAGCAACAAACATTGCATAAACTGTATTTATACCGCCTGTCATTTGTAATTTTTAAAGAGCCACTGTGTATTTTGTTCAGCTGTTTTATTTTTGTTAGTTTGAAAATGAAGGGGGAAAAAAACTTAAAATAGATGTGTTATAGGCTGCTCAAATTCATGGAAAGTTGTGGTATATATTTTTGCCCTATTAAAAAAAACATAATTCTGTTATATATAATGCATATATATACAATATACTTTGGTATTAGTCAAATGGGAAAATGCTAAAACCTGCATTTGTTTCTATATTGATATATTAGGATTTGCTGGTCTTTTATCAGTTTTATCAAAAGTGATGAGTCATTGTAGAGTATCAACCTGACCCCTTCACTGATCTCATATGGTCTCTAATTTTTGATAATTTTTTTGGTTATATATTCTAAAGAAATCAAAACTCCTCAATACCAATTCTTTTCCATTGGTTTGAAAAAGGTGACATTTAAGCCATTAAACTTGTTGAATGTGTAGTGGGAAAAGCAAAGCAAGATCAAAAACTTCTTTAATTGCAGGAATGCTGCGATTCACTTAACATCATGCCGGGTTTTATCGCAGACAATTCAACCCACTGATGCATCCAGAGGAAGGCACCTAAACTCAACAGCTTCCCATCACAGCACCTCTAAAGAAACATGACCTCTCTTCTCTTTACCTTCTTCTCTCCAGTTTTCTCCCTTTCTCTGCTCCGTTGCTCTGGCTTTGTTTTTTTCCCCACCCTCCACAGTGATCATTAGAGGAGCTGGGCCCTTAATTGGCGGAGACGGAGATGGAGATTTGAGTGAACAGTTAATTGGATAAGCCTGTAAATAATGCATGACGACTAAAGCCTGAGTTTACATTAATGCCCTGAGATGGGGTTGCCATGGGATTTCAGGTTTCACAGCGGTGAGTATTTATATTAATAAAGCCAGCAAGTGCAAGGTGAGAAAAGCAAAGCACTTATCGAATAATTCCTCCTAGCTGTCTGTGTAAAAGTGTTTGTCTTAATCTCTGTCTTCTCCTTTCAGCTGATGTCAAGGATGCGTGCTGTGTTTGTCATTACTATTAGAAGAAAGCAGCCTTCCTGAGCTGCTGGCCATGCTGCACCCTCATCCTGTGTATGTGTCTGCTAAAAACTTGGCTTGGAATTACATTCGGCACATTCCTCAGGGGGATTTTGGTGCTTTTCTAAAGTACTAACACCCATTACAGGTTTGGAAGTAGAAAGGAAGTAATACGTTTTTGTTATATGTTTTACAAACAAAAATGTGTGGTAAGCAGGTTTATTTTTTCTCTTTATGATCCCCCTAAATAAAATACAGCAAATCAAATTATAGTTGGAGGTGAACTCATCCAAGTGTAAATTAATACTAGAATTAGGGCTGAAACAATTAATCAAATGAATAGTGATTAATCGATTATTGAAATAATCGTCAAGTATTTTAGAAACCGGTTAATCATTAACTAGAACGTGGATCCTGTAAAATATGCCTTTAGTTAACAGAGCGACCCACTTAAAGCAGTAATTATACCAACATTTTGAAAGAAACCTTTTGCATTTTGCATTTACGATTTAAAAAAAAACTATTTTGTCTGTTAAACTGCTCTATCCAGAAGTCCTGAAGGGAAAGTTTTTGTTTTACCTGGTTTCATTTTGTAAAAAGTCTTCCTTAAGGAATCTCTGGCTATCTGATTATCAATCAATTAATCGGAAAAATAATAGACGGATTATTCGATTTGTAAAATAATCGTTAGGTGCAGCCCAACTTAGAATAACTACAGATCCAAGAGATGAGTTGGGAAACATTAGTGAACAATTTAACTGATAAAGAGCAAAGGACAAAGCGGACATGCCAGGAACAAATAGGTGGAGAAGCTAAAAGCAAGCCTGTTCATTTTACAGAGACATGGCCATCCACTTAGACTGATAGGGAAGGACGGGAGCATTAAAGCTTGTTAAAAGGACCCTGTTTCACTTGGCACTACATAAGGCTGAGCTTTTCAAGATGAATAAATCTTTTTTTTTTTCTAAGGTCATTTAAACAGTGGTGGACTAAGTACTCAATAGTAGTACTTGACTGAAAGTATTGATACTCAAAGTCAAATCTTACTCAACTATACTGTAAGTAAAAGTTACAAATATCTGCTAAAGATAAAGTATTGAAGCACCCAACTAGGAAAATACTTGTTTTCAGAAGTAAATGCATTTAAAAATACTTAATTATTAAATAGTAAAAATTTTCTAATATCAGTACATCTCTTTTTAAAGAACTTTTTAACTTTCAGAAACCACCTGATGTATGTATGCATAGAACCACCTGCTACAGATTCTACACGACCTGGAAAGAACCAGCATAAAACGCCAGAAAAAGGGAAAGTGATGTTATTACTATTTATTTAAAATCACCCCCCCCCCCCCCCAAAAAAAAAAAAAAAGAAAGAAAACTTGATTATCCTCACACTTTCACTGTGGAATAGAGCTTTAAGGTTGATTCTTTTACCACAGAGAAACAGCAACTCCGAACAACTCATCCTACTGAACAACTTGGCCACATAAAAACAACTAACGCCTTAATAACATATATAAACTACAAAAAAATCTGCCCTGAATTTCTCATGTGTGGAATGTGATTAAATCTCTAAAACAGTGATTTCCAAATTCAGTCCTAAGTGCTGCTGTGTCTCATGTTGAAATTGCATTTCAAGAAAGAAAAACAGCAACAGTGTGGCAGAAAGACCCTGAACAGACCATCCTCATCATAAAACATGAGGGAAGCAGCAACATGTTATTGTTATTTCTGCAGCAAGGACTGGGAAGCTGGTGATAACTTATAGGAAGATACATGGAGCAAAATACAGAGAAATACTGCAGAAATATGCATCCCATACTTTCCAGGTCTTGATTCTGTAAAACAAATAAAAACATTGTATACTATATGATGAAAAAAAAAACACAGACGTTTGTCGCCATTGTCTGAAAAAAGGGCCACAGTACTCCTCATGTTGTTGGTTTCTATGTATTCATTCATAAATGGGTGGAGGGGATCTCAGTCATGAGCCCTTTTCAAAACATGTCAGCTGAAATGACAAACTGTTAACCTTTCCTATCCGCACATTTCTCAATTTTAGCCCTTTTGTTCCGTGGTTCACAAAGACCTTTTTCTGCTTTGTTTTCCTCTTTTGCTTAGATGTAATTCATTCAACGTGTTTAATCTTTTAAGCCTGATGCATCTTTAACTCTGAGGAGTAAGCTGCAGGTTTGGATGCAGGTCTGTTTTGTTTTGGACGGAGAAAATCTCATACGGCAAACAAAGCCCCGTCAGTAGGTATGACAATGGGGTATAAATAATATTCATTTCAACCTCCCCCCCACCCCCATACATACAGATTTAGCTTGTTTATGAGTACAGTTTAATTAACTTTCCTGTAATGCTTCATATAGTCCCCTTGAGGAATATATTACAAGATATTCCAGGGAAGAGAAGAGGAAGAGTATTTCAGAGGCGGAGACTCTTCCCAAACCAGCAGCATTGAAAGCATCCTGCCTCCATCTGAGGCCAAACCTTTTCTGTTCAGGACCAATTTTGCTGGAGTTGCAAATGAATCAGCTTGTTACTTCATGTTACAAGAGATTAGTGTTAGACACTTTAAAAGTAAGGATGGGTTCTCACCATTCGTAGTAGATTCCACGTCGCCATGAACGGAGCTGCTTCCTCCTCTTGCAGGTTGAGCGCTGCTGGCAATTTGCTCTCCGTTTTGGACTGACGGCACCAGTTTAATGAGAGGCACCAGCTCTTCTTCCCGCTCTGACAGCCCCTTTTCTGAACTCTGTGGTCCGCTGTTAGGAGCCCTGAGGGGAAAAGTGCCACCTCTGTGTTCTACGATGGCATTGTCCATGCTGCCCTTGTTTCCAATGGGTTTGGGAACACTTAGATTTTTGTTGAATGACACTTCCTCAGTCTGGTTCTCTGCAGCTTTTTCCTCAGGCGCTGTGGATCTGCTCTCTGCCTTGTCAGACCCTTTGCTTCCTGCCCAAAACTTAAAAGGCCTCATGAGAGTGTTAACAAATTCAGTGAGAAGACTGTAACTTCCCTGAGGCTGGGGGGTGGAAGAGGCCAAGGGGGATGATGCTGGGGTTCCTGATTCCACATGGTTCTCTGCAGCTTCAAGGTCAGGAAAGCTAGAAGTGACGTTGCTACCTGTTTCAGCAGAACCGTCCGGATCCATCTGGCTGATTCTGGGTCCATCGTGCTTCTCATCCCAATTTTCCTCAGATTTCAAGTCAATGAAAACATGCTCCTCAGATATGTCAGATGAGTCATTGCTCTTACTGAATGAGGGGGCTCCTGTTCTATTGAAGGAGAACCTGTCAGAATGGACAGATGTTCTGACAGAGGGGTCGCTTCTCTTGGCTTCAGCAAATAAAGACGAGATGTCCAACACTTTTCTCTCAGTCTGGTCCAAACCTTTAGCCTCAGAGGCTTGAATCGCTGCTGGATGATGGGCTGCAACACACAACATTCACAGTTTCCTTCATTTTCTGTATCAGCAGCTACATAACACCTGTTATTATAATCAATACTGCAGAGAGGACAAGTCTGTAGTTCATCTGATTTTCACAACCATTTCCTATCATTTTAGATAGATGAAGATAAATACATTTTAATAAAGTTCATGCGAATAATTATTGATTTCAAAAGCTCCGGTTTCCATTTATCGTCTTACTTTACTGCACATATTTGAGTTAAATATTAATGCAAATGTGCAGAGGGATCCATCCATCAAATGTTTGTTTTGACAGATTCCCAGTGGCTCAGTTTTTCATGCTGATCTTACTCACTTAGATAATTTGAGGTAATGCAAATGTTTCACTTTGGCGATGACACTTTGAAAGATGAAACCGACATTTTTCTCTGTCTATGGAAATGTCACTCTCAAATATGAAGTTGCTATATTTAGCAGTCAATGCAAGGTGTAAACAATACCGAGCTAAGAAAGCAGAGGTAATATTCCTCCATGTCAATATGGAGTTTAGTCAGATCAGTGTAAAACCACAAACTACAGTGCCTCGAAACTTTGTGGCGTCAGAAACCCAAAATCCAAGTTATTTTGGGGGATTTAGTGCTTTAGGTCCAAACTAAGTAGCCGATAACTGAGAAAAGGTGATTTTGTTTTAAGATTTTAACTATAGTGTAAATTGTGCTGTTCATTTGTATTCAGCAGTGCTGGGTCATTACTTTTTACCTCCTTCCACCACAGTTACAGCTGCAGTCTTATTGTGAACATGTATTCCAGCGTTTTACGTCTCGTGAATCAATTTTTGACAAAACAGCTCAATCCCAGTCAGGTTGCACAGATAACATATTTCAAAACCTGATTTTTCAGCATTGCCCGGTTCTCTGTCAATATCTGGTGATACTGGAGAACCTGTAAGCTCTCTTCCTTCAACTTATTTTGCAGAACGTGACCCAGAATCTCACGCTTTGGAATAATTCATATCATTTTTGGATTTAAGGTCAATTTAGGCGATTCCAGCATATGACAATGTTTTAATCTAACCCTTCTTATTAAAGCTGTTTTCTGCTACAGTCCTGAGTCTTTTCAATCTTATGTTCCTATGTTAGTTCCACCCATTTTACTATTATTTTCCTGACCTCTGTCCCCCCTAAAGAAAAGCCTCCCACTTGCTGATGCTGTGATATGAATACAAATGAGCAACTCAAACATGCAATTGTAAAAAAAAAAAAAAAGGTAAACCAAGTGTCATTTTCACTCCAATTTACAATTACAATCTACTTATAGCACCAAAAACATCAATAAATAAATAAAAATATGTGTAGCTGGAAAGTGACAAAATACTGGAGAGTTTAAGACATGTAACTGCCTTTTTAAGACACTGTAACTTGCCAAACTCTTATCTGGAGCATCATAAATTCACAAGGTCAGTCAGAGTAAATGTGAAACCCAGTTCTTTGTTCTCGCCTACTCCTCTTTTCATCTGTCTTCTCATTCTGTTTCTCCTCCTCCTCTGCGCAAAAAATACCAGCTCTCAAATCCATCAGGAGGAAAACAAATGTCACAGTCTTTCTCCAAGTCCTTCATGTGTGACACACATACTTAGTGCTAATTAAAGTCAGAATGGAAAGCAACTCCCTGGACCCCACAGTTGTTGCTATGGCGATTGCAACAATGATGTTACATTGACTTTATCATACAGCAGAGAGCTCTGGGTACCTCTGTAACAGTAGGCGTCGAAATGGGCAGTGGTGTCCGGGAAGCCGGTACGGTTTGGGTTGTTGTAGATGGTCCGCACCCCTGGCTCGTCTCCACCACAGTTCTTCCGCGGTACGTTGATGGGGTAGCGGACGCTGCCGTCTGCAAGCCAACCGGGATCACACTGGTCTAGGCCAGCCTGCCAAGCCAAGTAGAGCTGCCCAACGGTGGCCAGCTGTGCTCCTAGAGAGTGGCAGTGGGTGGAGGCTGTGGAAAGGCTCAGCTTCTGTGGCACTGTGGAGTGGAACACTTCACCTGGAGATGGAGACAGAATTGGTTTGAAAGTTGATTTAGCTTTTAAAAAATGGCATAGAAGCCTTTGATAATGTGCTTTTTTGTTACTTTATCTTATCATATTGATAAGTAATGAATAAATAAAACTAGAAATTCACTCTTAGAGCTCAGAATTCTGCCAAGCAGAACATTTAGCCCCTTATTCTGACTTAGACCTTCTGACTCTCAGAAGATCTGTATCATTACCATATTTAAACTGTGGCGCACCTCTGGTTAAAAAAAAAAAGTCCATAAACTCCATTTAAAGCTTCTCAGTTGATCCTGCTAACAAATCAACAACCTTCCCTTTTCGTGTGTTTTTATTCTTCAGTAAAAATACCTTCAGACTTTTTGAGTCCGATGCTGAGGCTGTCAATAATGACTGCTGCCACCCTCTGGTTAAGTGAGGAACTGCTTGGGGAACCAAATATCCCTATCTCACAATTTACAATAAATCCTGTATTAAGATTATGATCAGTATCATCAACAACATTTAATGGATTATTTCTTGGCATGAGGGACACCTCTGATAAAAATGTAATTACATCGGTCCATAAGAAGACAGACAGACAAAAGCACTCACAAACAAACTTGTCTAAAAACATCCCCTCCTTGGCGGAGGTAAATAATACATAAGTAGTATATGATTTTGCTATCATAATTTTAGGCCAAAATGTAGGATTTAGGTTTTCAAATTGTTGTTCACCAGGGTTTGTAAAAAATAACAGCTACCAATATTAGCAAAACATATTTTTTTCTACAAAAAACAATTTTTCCTGAAGAAAAATAGTCAAGAAAGAAAGAACATGTTGTGCCTCTGTCGATATATAATATCGTCTACAAAGTGTTGGGAAAAAAAAAAAAAAAAAAAAAAAACAACAACTATGGAAGAAGAAACCAGCAGAGCAACACAATAATCTATGAAACTCAAATCTGAAGGCTGAAAGTCTAGATGTTGGTGGAAAAATAAAAAGAAGTGTTGTTATAAAAGAGAAGCTTTGTTGAAATGGAAGCAAGCTAAAGTAGCATATGCAATACCTTAAACAAAAAGCTCCATTACAGAACATGACTATTAGGTTAATGAGTCTCTGAAAAACACAAGAGTGAGACCAGGTGCATGTGTGTCCCTGGTTGTACCCAAACATTTACCTGTCGCCGCTGGGATTCAGCACCAGCAATAATAGGTAAATGTAGAGAATGAATAAATATGCATACATGAATATTAAATGCAGTAATTTTGGAAGTCATTTGATGAAATATTTTACCTTTTTTATCATATAAACTCTTGAGGTTTTTCTCCAACCTTTGCTCCTTTATCATCTCAGCATTCGGTGCATAAATATTGTGTAACTAGCTTTAGAAAACTCCTACCTTACTTTATTGAGTTTGATGACACCTGCTGCTTCAATGCCTGATGATAAGCCCACTAAATAAGCTAAACCATTGAAAAGGTCAGCGTTGTTTTAAAACCTGCTGTTATAATAATTTTGCTCTGAAGTATGGAGGAGTGCAGTAAAGAATAGCAAGCATCTAATTTCAGCCAAGCAACTAGAATCAGATCTAAGGTAGAATGTGCTCTGGGTTGTTTGCTCTGGAGCTGCCTTTAAAAATTTACCCTTGAAAGTACTTTATAAAGTTTACGAAGTTGCTTAGTTCATTATTATTATTCTTTAAACTGCTCAAGCAGAAATTATACTGTTTTATGGTTTGATGGAGGAATTGCTGGAATAACCAGCTGTGCAGAATCCTGGCAGCAGGACCATAACCTGACTCCGCCAGATGGATTTGCTCCGCATATCCATCTGGAAACCTTCAGTTGAAGTAATTTTGGGAAGGGGCGAAAATACTGGTTAGCTGATTGGCCTATGTTGGTGATAGACGGGCCAAATAAACCAATAAGATCAACGAAGCATATGACGTACTAACAGCCAGGCTACTCTTGCAGAAACCAGTCGGGAGAAGAGCAAAAACATCTTTTCCTCTGAGAAAAGCCTCCAGAGCAGTGTTTTGCTCTTCTTTCAGTGAAGAAATACTCTGTTATTCCGATAAAACTTGCTCAATAGCCACGCTAACGCTAGTTTAATCTCCAGACTAGCCTCGTGAGACCATCCTGATCCCGCGAGCTTTCAAGATTTCGCTAATCAGTCTGGAGACTCTCCGTTGAAGAAAATTTGGAGCCGTTCACCAAACGAACGTCCAATCAGCGTTGGCTTTGAGTCGGGTCGAGGTGTGACGCAACGAGAAGCGCGACAGTTCAGTCTAAACAACATGGCGGCTTCAGCCGATGAAACTAGCGTTAGCGTAGCTATCGAGCAGGTTTTATGGGAATTACAGAGTATTTCTTCACTGAAAGAAGAGCAAAACACTGCTCTGGAGGCTTTTCTCAGAGGAAAAGATGTTTTTGCTCTTCTATCGACTGGTTTCGGCAAGAGTTTGATCTATCAATTGGCTCCTCTTCGTCGTCGCTCTGTAACGTCATAAACTTCGTTGATCTGATTGGTTTATTTGGCCCGTCTATCACCAACATAGGCCAATCAGCTAACCGGTAATTTTGCCCCTTCCCAAAATTACTTCAAGGGAAGGTTTCCAGATGGATATGCGGAGCAAATCCATCTGGTGGAGTCAGGTTATCTCCAGACTGATTAGTGAGTGAAATTTTGAAAGCTCGCGAGATCAGGATGGTCTCACGAGGCTAGCAGGACCAGGGATTTAGCCTCTATTACAGCACCCGGTCATCAAGGTGGCTGAAATCAGGACACTGCCATTTCTTTTTCTTATAAAACGAACATTGATCCCACATATGTTGAACAGTTACGGTGGAAAGCCGTAAGGAGCTAGACAGCAATACAGCTGTTAATTTATAATAACTTATAAGCTGTAGGATAACAGTACGCTAATTACCTGAGCACATTTAACCAGCTAATATTAGCAGTTAGCCTTATCATGGATTTTAGCAGCCAAAATTGTGTTTTTAGTTTTAATAGAGCTAAGTTTCTCTTTGAGGTCTAAAAGTGTTCGAAGGAATTACTTGACATCCATCCATCATTGCATGATTCAGAAAAGCTGCTGGGATTGGCAAAGCATGAAGAATGGGAATATAAGCGTAATCACACGCAGAGAAAATGGAGACACAACAAAACAGCTGCAGCAGAGGGATCATTTTCTTTTGAGAAGTTTTCCCATTTTGAATAAACTAAAAAAGAGAAATAGTTTCCACTTTTTGAACTGTAACTAATGTGCCCAAAAGCAGGAATAGATTTGGGAGTCATTTGCTGTGAACTTTATAACCCAAACTACTGTTAAGAAACTGACATTTAAAAGCTTGTAGTTTAAGAAAATGTGGAATTAAACAAACAGGGGGTTGATAATAAACTATCTCTCATAAAGTTTACCAATCGTGTGAAATTGTCAATTTTCATCGAAAATGTTTTATAAATCTCCCCAGAAATCCATTAGTTTGCTTAGATTTATGTCAGGGCTGCATTTGACTGTATGTTTGGACTGTATGTTCAGTTTGGAGGCAGCTCTTCATCAATTAATTTTGCTTTTGTGTTAGTTTTGTTGCGTCACCTTTAAGGTTAATTTTTCCACATGACATTCAGTCACTGCTGGGATGATTTTAGCCTTTTGTTTCTCCTTTAGGCTCAGTCCCATCAAGCTGTTTTTTATATCTGTTGTTGTTCTTCATCCCTTTCTTTATCATATCTGCCCTCTTACTGACTCTGGTCCATGTGTGATTCCAGCTGTCCCACCTCAGTGTTACTATTTAGATGTTTTTTTTCTCTACTACTATCCTTCCTCCTCATTTCAGCTCCTTGTACCTGTCATCTTTTGAAGATTGCTGTGATTCTCCAAGATGGTTCTAGTGGTTTCCTTACTGCTCTTCAATATTCCTCCTGTCCTGAAAGTCTTTGGTCTTTCTGTTCACATTAAACTCACCTAAACGTGATATTGCTTACCTCCTGCCGCTGTTATAATCCTACACAACCATAGTATATAAATAGGAAAAATAGCTTCGATCTGTATCGGCAGCCTCACCCTCTGCTAAAATCAGGAACTCCATGGCAAAAATTGTTAATCTGAGTTAATAATTTTCTCTTAAAGCAAGTTCATTTTTTTCTTACATTTAGCAGGTAAGTGAGACAGTTCCCCAATTGAATAATACAATTTAAATTTAAAAAAAGAAAAAGCAACTGCAGTCTCTAAGTCAGTTATCTTATTTTAAGGGTAAAAATGCTCATTCCATTGGCAGATCATCTTATCTTCTAGCTCAAATTAGGGGTAAATACACTTATTCTAAGATATTTTACTCACTTTCAGAATGTTCTTACAGAATGACCACAAACTATGATCAGTGCATCTCTACTTTAAGTATTTTATAATTTCCTGCAATAAAAATCTAATGGCTTAGGAATTATTTGCTTCATTTCAATTAAATCAATGATTTAAACTCCTACCTGGAAGCTTCTTTACAAAGCAGTAGACATCAAACAGCTCTTCAGGAGCCCTATTGCCATAGTTACGAACACCAGGTGAGTCCTCCCGATCACCATAGCAGCCTGGTCGAGGTGACTGGATTGGGTACCTGCAGAGCAAACCAAGTAGTAGGAACAAACACAGAGAGAGTTAAAGAAGAAAGAGCAAGATTTATGTGGCTTGGCCATACAAAAGAAAGCAGGCGCGGATAGACCTAGCTCCCAGGGAGGGGTCCAAGCTCCCAAGTAGAAGATGAAAACCCCGCAACACTTTTATCATTTCCTACTCTGAATATAGTACGTTTAAAGATATCTTCAAAAAAAGGAATAAAAAACTTCCCCTCATATCTACACACAACAGTAACACCATTGCAAAAATGAAAGTAAAATCTATGCCTCACAAAAGCAGGCTGAATTAATGATGCCTTTAGGTTTTATTTAGAATTTTTTTTTTTAAGTTTCTTGACATATATGTAAGCCAAAAAAAAAACAGACTGTGAATCATTTTGTGAGGCAGGAGCAGAGAAAGATGAAAGTAGAGTTGAGAAGTCATTAAGAGGTCAGTAAAATCCAGAGTTCCTTTAATGACTCTGTATTCCTGAAGAGCAGAGACAGCAATCTTTATTAGAGTCTCACCTTTGCAATCATTCCTCAAGAGCATCGGCTCTATTAGGAGGAGGAGGAGGCACACAAAATAAGCTGATTAATATATTGCAATTGGCATTCAGGGACTTGGAAAATAAATGCATATTGGCAAATATACAGCACACACCAACGTCCACAAGGCCATAAACCATATTCTCCAGGATAAAAACAAAGACACAATCTAAAAGTGAAGCAATACAGCCATGTTCTGTTGTGGCTTTTGCTGCATTTCTTCTGTTCATGGTTGGAGAAATAACAATGGGTTTCTCTGTGTTTTTCTCTTTGAATTAATTGGACACTTCCCTCTTGGCTGATATGCCATCAGAACATCTTGAATCTGGACCAATTAGAGAGTGAACGCAGCAAGGATGCAGGACAGAAAGAGGAAAAAAATACTAGGAGAATAAAGCAATGTCACTGCAAATATCTGAAAAAGCTGACAGGAACACAACAAGCAGCATGTCTACCATCTTAAGGATGTAGATATAGAAAATGAGACGATGTTTTACTGGACGTTTTTGGGGCTTATTGAAAGAAATGCAAAATAAGTTCTGTACAAGGCTCCTGAAAGGCAGCTCTGAGGGTGAAGACACAGTAAACTCAGTTTCACTCATCAGACTACCAATGAGTTTAATTTAAAATTCAAATAACAAGATTTAAGTATTTTTAATTATCTTTCTGTATAGGGTCTGTGTAGGGTTCTTTATTCTGCTGCTTGATTTTCAAAAAAGACTGATCTTATCTGGCTAAGATTTTAACAGCAGGGGAAACAGCAGAGAAAGAAACCTGCTGCAGTGAGTTTTAGGGAGAAAATAAAACTATGTTCCACAATATGCAGTTTATAATTTGCTGCCTTCATCACTTAAACCTAGAGGCCAATCAGGGTTTTTCTTTCAGCCATTTTGTTTCCTCCTGTTCTGTTTCCAAAACATGTGGTAAATAATATATATTTGAAATATATATTTTATTGCAGTATTGGTATAAATTGGTATAAATAATAAGACAGTATTTATATAGTATTTATGTGGAACATCCATCCCTTTTTAGTAAAATGAAACTAAGCGATAGAAGTTTTCAGATATGGATTGACCCTATTTATCTGTCTTTCCATACACAAAGAAGACTTTCCATACTTTTCCAGTTCCATGCTACATTAAAAACATATGCTAGGGTTTTTCCTCACCGTACGGTCTGGTCTGCGAGCCAGCCGGCATCACAGTTCTCGTATCCATCAGCAAAGGTTGCTTGCAACTGACCAGGTGTTGCGATAACAGCTGAGTTCTCTAGGCACACCCTTTTGGCATCAGCAAAGGACAAGGCATACCGGTCATGAGGGGCACGATAGTGGAACACCACGCCTGAGAAAAAAACAGCAAAAACAGAAATAAGGTTATTAAGAGAAGTAGGGAGGCTGATCCAGGACATCACAATATAGATTTACAGCCTGAACAGCAAGTATATATATGCACGTAGTAGATGCTCAGTGGAGAACAACGAAGCCCTCAAGACACAGTGATTATGTGCTGACATTGTTCCATCTGTGCAGGAAAGACCTACAGTGCTCGGGTTCAGCAACCCAAGTGTACTGAACATGTCTATGATTTGCATCAGATCATCCACTGCCTGATTAAAAAAAGAGATGTTGCCCTTGGATACAGTCTATGACAAATAGTGGAGGTGTTTATCTTCCTGCTTTAGCAGTGCACACAATGCCACCCTGCTTAATTCTGCTTGCCTCTCAAGCAAAGAAACAGAATGACAGTGTTTTTAAAATGGATTGGCAACCCCATCCAGGGTGTTAAAAAAAAACCTGGCTCAGATACAGCTGGAAATAGCCACCAATGACACTGCAAGGAGAAGGATGTATAGAACATGGATGGATAGATGGATTCCATTCAGCTAAAATGTTTATTGAATTCAGGGATTAAAGCAAAAAAAAATCCTGAGCCTGAACTTTTTCAACACAGGCAAGTAACTCATATATATAGTTAGGTTAATTGGCTTCTCTAAATTCTCCTTAGGTGTGAGTGTGTGCGTGACTGCGTGTCTCTGTTGCCCTGCGATGGACTGGAGACCTGTCCAGGGTGAACCCTGCCTCTCGCCCGTAGACAGTTGGAGATAGGCACCAGCACCCATCGCGACCCCAATTGGGACAAGCGTGTCAGATAATGAATGGATGGATGGATGGAAATATATATATATATATATATATATATATATATATATATATATATATATATATATATATATATATATATATATATATATTATACATTATACTTACTAATGCATGTTTGCATAGCACCTGTTTTGTCGGTGGATGGGTGAATAAGCTTCCTGGAGCACAGCATGCAGAAGCAAGCGTCTGGTTCACCTAACTTCCTGCACCAGCTAAATGACTCGCCATCTCGCCCTATCTCCTCCAGCCATGCCCAGCGCCATTTTTTTTTGAGACCTTTATCTATGGTCGTGACATATTCCCCAGAGTTCATGAACTGCATTGTGCCCAAACCATGCAATTCTGTTCTCTCTATCATCCTTCTCTCCAAACACAAAGTTTAATTTATTTATTTTTTGACTCGTTGCACGTCTCTCTGTTGAATGGAGCCGTAAATGGCATACAGTAAAGTGACTCTTCGTGTAGAACTTCACCTCTGTACCACAATCTATCTGGGAACTTGAGCAACAAACTAGAGGAGGAAGCAAACGCTTTCCTATGACCCGCCCCCTTCTTCTTCTGATTGGCTAATACTGTTAGTTTCAGAGTGCTCTTTTGCTACCATTGGCTAACAAACACAAGAGGGAATTCAATATTTCTTTTTTTTATTTATTTAACATCAATTTATTTTCAAGTAATATTTTTACCGGGCTGGAATACGTTAATCTCTGTGAACTCTTAAAGGTAGTGATTCTGCAGCGTTACCATATCAATAAATGATTAGTACAGCTCTTGGTTCCTTTTGTTTTGTTTGAAAACCAGTACTGGACAGCTTCATGCATGGTGACAGTGGAACAAAACAAAATACGATAAAGAACATTTTTATTTTATTTAACTCCAATCCAGCAAGGGTAAGCAAAAAAAAATTATAAAATCCAAAAAGGCAGCTTTGTGTATAAAGAGTTGATTAGGACTTTTGGCACTTGCTACTTTCTTGCTACTTTCTTATTAGATCTTTAAGGATCAATCCAATGCAACCTTATTCCAAATTAGAGCAATACGAAGTTACCTTGTTCACTGAGAACATCAATCAGCAAAACTCACTGACTTTGTTGATGCAATTCAAACATAGTTTCATCATTAGGCCACTGGCTACCTTCTCAATTACTGCAGCTTTTTACAGAAAACTGAAAATGGTTTAAAAAAACGTACAGGTTCTACAGCATTAAGTCTTTAATAGCATGCAGCAGAAATCCCCAGGTGACGAGAAGTTTTTCAGAGTTAGATTCCATAGCATAAACACTGCATCTCTCACATATTAATGTGTACTGATGGTCATCTGGCTTAGACATGCTTCCATATTTTACTTCTTTTGTGTACAAAAAATCATAAATCTGGGTTTTAGTTGTACGCTTGTTCACAAATATATGAAAAGTTGAGATATGGAAACAAAAGGAGAGACTCCCATCACTGACAGTTACTAAAATAAAAGCTGGTTAGCATTTTACTTTAATTAAAAGCAGTTTGATAAGGTGATTAATTTTTCATTTACATTTTTTCTATGATATCATGAGAATGTTAAAAGAATGGCTAAAGGTAGTCCTGGTACCACAGTTTAATAAGCAAGGCTTTAGGGTTTGAAGAACACTAAACAAAATAATAATATAAAGAAGGCGAGAAAATTAAATTGACTAAGAGAGGGTAGTTTAGTTAAATAATGGGATCAAGGTAAATCAAGGTTCACATGTCCTTCTGTCCATTTAAACTAAGGTGACCAGATTCCTGCATCTAATCTGTGGACATTCCCAGCTCATAGATAACAATAAATACATTATATGAAAATTAAAATGGGAAACGGGGACAATGCTGTTTTCAGCCATTTTATATATACATATATATATATATATATATATATATATATATATATATATATATATATATATATATATATATATATATATATATATATATTAGTGCTGTCAAAATTATCGCGTTATTATCGCGTTAACGCGAGGCCATTTTAACGGCGATATTTTTTTTAACGTGAGATTAACGCTATGTGGTTTTATGGTACAATTTTCCAAGTACATCCCGCTGCAGCCCGCGAGAAGGCGGGGCTATTTTCCCCCAGTGTATGCATTTTTCATAGGCTTCGAGAGCGGACCTCCTCAAGGGAAAAAGACGCTCATACACTGGGTAGCGCTAGTGCCTTTTCTTTAAGCCACACCACCAACAAACAAGTTGAGTGTCTGGTAACTAGTAGCAACTTGAAATATGCTGAGAAAACAGATTACTGAGGTGAAATGGAATCTGCTACGGCACTCTTGCCGTCTGTGTACGCAACAGGTCGGTATCGTGTGCGTGTGTGTGTGTGTGTGTGTGTGTGTGGGTGAGTGGGTGTGTGTGTGTTCTCATTTTTGTTAAGAGGCTGAAAAGTAACTTTCTAGAGTATAGACTACCTCCATCTAGTGATGCCGGTCTATTGATTTTGATGTATTGATTGAAAATTGTTCATTATTACCTTGGTTAATTAACATCTAATGTTAACTCTACTAAATTTTATAGCAGTAGGGTAAAATGCTTGTCTTTGTTCAAAATACTGTATTAACTGTAAAGACTGTCTTTTACATCAGCCTGTTTTCAGGGCCTTTTTTTTGCCTACGTATTTGTTATTTTTGGCATAAATCAGTATCTGTGACCTGTTTTCATTTTAAAAAAAGAACATTGGCACAAACCTAGCCTGTATGTATTTTTTTGTATGTCATCGAGAGTATTTAAATGATTTTCAATCAGGAAAAAAATGTGCGATTAAAATGCGATTAATCGCGAGTTAACTCAGGCATTGATGCGATTAATCGCGATTAAAAAAATTTAATCGATTGACAGCACTAATATATATATATATATATATATATATACAAATTGAAAAACCTTTTTTTCTACATAATAATAACTATAAAATGAAATGGCCTCCAGTTGTTTATACTGTATCCTGGACAGATTCAATTCAATTCAATTCAGTTTATTTATATAGCGCCAAATTCACAACACATGTCATCTCAAGGCACTTTACAGTTCAACCAGATCATACAGTCAAATTGATACAAAGTTTTCTATCTAAGGAAAACCAGTTGATTGCATTGACTCAAATACAATCCCCCACACTAAGCATGCTTGTAGCGACAGTGGAGAGGAAAAACTCCCTTTTAACAGGAAGAAACCTCCAGCAGAACCAGGCTCAGTGTGAGCGGCCATCTGCCGAGGCCGACTGGGGTTCAAGGAGACAGAAGCAGAGATACAAAAAGCAGCTGTAAAAGGCGGCCCCGTCCAGGAAACACACAGCCAGGCAGACGAGCTCCAAGGCAGCTCCCATGCCAGAGATGCAGTGCATTGGGTAGCCTCCAGCAGCCTGTATTAAAATCTGTGTCTCTATTAAAAAAGTTACATCAGGTTTTATATTCAGATTAAATTACAACCATTAAAAGACATCTATAAATCTGGATCATTCTCATGAGAAGCTTGAAGCAGCCACACCAAAAATACATGTTTTGTCTTTACATGTATAGATGCTCTCAGGGCATAAAAGGAATCTGTCCTTTAATAAGGTTATAGTGAAACCTAATAGGAATATTTTTTCACAATCCTAAACCTATTTTCTATTCATTTGTTCATAGATACAGCGGTGCTTTTTGTTTTAAAAAAAACTGTTATTAATTTCATCCCTGTTACAAAAAATCCATAACAAAAAAAAATATTTGGGCAGAAGCTGCACATATGCTGAATGCTGATGGGGATTTTTTAAATATTTCATATGAAATTAAGTGTTAATTTCTGCGTATTTTGCTCCTATAAACTTAATAATAATAGAGCACATGCTCTCCTTGAGCTCCGAGGAAGTTGGAATGGAGAAAGACGGAAGGACCAGCAGAGGGTGTAAGCTTTCCTTTGCACAGGCGGTCTGGAGCTGAGCTGGGCAGTGACAGAGGATGTGGGATTTCGGGGTGTAGCTGCATCCAACTTCCTCATCTGCTCTTTCCACTATAAGAGTTTATATGCAACATTTTCCCCCTAATTCATAAAATGGTAAAATCAGGGACATTTTCAGGGACAGCTGTAGACAGGGACAGGTGGTCCAGATCGGGGACTGTCCCCGGAAATTGGGGACGTCTAGTCACCGGAATTTATATGTCCCAGATTAGC